GCGCCACCGGTGACTACTCGCAGACAGCGGTGGCCGACACAACAGCCACTGCCGTCGGTTACACCGCATCGCAGCCCACATCGCAGTCTTCAACGCACTCACATTCGCACCACAGCGCCGGCTCCGGCAGTGCAGTGGCCGGCAAAATGCCCGCACGTAAGTCGGGGTCGTCCTCCTCTACCTATCATCCCTACAGGAACTCCACTCAACATTAAACACCCATTCCTTACGATTCGTACCTCTATTTCGCCGATAATCTCGATATAAACTTTTTTTTGGACACCACTTAAAGTATTTTTGATTTACTCTTCAAAACTTAGACTTTATTTAAGCATATTTTCCTTATGTTTCCGTCTATTTAGTTATTTTCTCATCAATTTTTATAATTTAATGCGTTTTTTGTTAAAAATTAGTGTTTATTTGCCGTCTCTATTGTCCACATTTTGTTGACGGCAAATGTGTTTTAATTATATTAATAATAATATTATTGAATCATAATTTAAGAACAATTTTCGTAAACCTGCGGACGACTGCCCACTGGGCCGCGACCGGCGGCCTGAAGGTTAAGGACAGTGAGAAAGTGTTCGGCCGCCTCGCGATAGGCGCCCAAATTGATGCAACTGATGCCCAAATTAAAACGCGACCGAATGAAACCCGGGCTAATGGCCAAAGCCTCGCGGTAGGCGTTGATCGCCTCTTCCGATTGGCTGCCATTGGCCAAAGTGGCGCCCAATCGGTTCCAGAGGAGACTGTCATTGGGTCGCACCTGCAGTGCCGACTGGAAACAGTCGGCCGCTCTCTCGTATTCGCCCGACAGGTTAAAGAGGACGCCTAAACCGCACTGAACGTCGGCGTCCGCATCGTTGGGCGACTGACGGGCGGCCGCTATAAACAACTCTTTCACTTCCCGATGCTTTCCGGATGTGATGATAGAGGAGACAGTATAGGCCGGTCCGAAGCCAAACGGTTCGCCAATTGGTTGTGCGGTCGCCGTGTCGTGAGGTAATAAATTTTGGTATTTGGGATTACGTTTGATCCACTCCTTCAACGTATTGCAGGCCTGGTTTTGCATCGATTCGTTGGTATAGCTGACCGCCAGCGCCATCAACGCCTTCAAGTCGTTTGGCTCGAGTGACAGACACTTATTGAGTGCGGCGATGGCCGCCGAGTCGTGTTCGTTCTCGGCCTGAGTGGTGCCCAAGTGTTGCCAAATCAGTGCATTGTTTGGCTCCTTCTGAACGGCCGCTTCAAACAGGAGGACAGCCGACGGGANATTCGTTGGTATAGCTGACCGCCAGTGCCATCAACGCCTTCAAGTCGTTTGGCTCGAGTGACAGACACTTGTTGAGTGCGGCGATGGCCGCCGAGTCGTGTTCGTTCTCGGCCTGAGTGGTGCCCAAGTGTTGCCAAATCAGTGCATTGTTTGGCTCCTTCTGAACGGCCGCTTCAAACAGGAGGACAGCCGACGGGATGTCACCCTCTCTAAGCTTATTAAGCCCTTCTTCGAATGGGTTCGGGTGTTCCAGCAGTGGATTCTCTTCGTTAAACTTATATTCCTCTTTGGCGTCCATTGAGTTCAAATCCAAGAACTGTTGGCTATCGGCCGATGAGTTGTCGTCCACTAAACCCATTTCCTTCCAGTCCTTCGCCAGTTTCGACCAAAACTCTGTGTCGTCGTCCAAATCGTGCTTCTCGTCCTCACTTGTCCTCTGATTCGTCAATTCGCTCACCATTTCTTGAGCCCAAGTGTCGGCCCTTTCTTTCATTGTAGTAAAATCTTGTGCCCAGTGGTCAGCGGTGGCCGAACTGCTCATTACGAACCCCTCGTTGTCTAAAGCGAGCTCTGAATTACCGATCTTTTTGACAAATTGTACGAATTCTGTCTCATTAAGAGACGGATCAATCGATTCCATCAATTTGTTCGCCTCTTCGGCCAAATTCAAGGAGTCGTCGGTCGCGCTCTCATTCAGCCATTGATTGCTAGCATTAGTAGTGTCCGCGGGATTAGCCATAAAGTGTCTCTCAGTCTCAGCCAAGTACTCGTCGGCCCACTTGGCGTCCGACATCTCCTGCAGAGATCTCTGTCTCCCCTCTAAACCGAAACCCAATTTGTAGTCCAACTCATGGCCGGCGCTGAACTCGTCGGTCCACTGATCACCCCTTCGGCCAAAAGTGCCCAAAGAGTCGTCGATAACAGGGCTGTCGTCCAGTCGTTGCACTTCACGCAAGAGACTGTCCATCCGGAAGGGCTGGTCATCGGCTGTGGTCTGATTGGAGGCGTGTTTGTCGGCAATGAACTCATTGACAAACTGTTGGACATCAGAACCTAATGGCGTGAATGTGGCCGAAGAAGTGGCCGCCGATGAGTGCTTTGTCTGCGAGAAGGCGTTATCCCTGACGTAATGCCGGGAGAGGCCGACCATTGGGTTAACTGATCCGCACTCGTTGTCCACAACATTACGCAAAGACATGATTGGATGCGTCGACACAATTGAGACGATGAAGAAGACAAGGGATGACTAAGAAGTGATGATATCGTCAAACATTGGTTACGAAGACAGAGAGGGAGTGAGTGATAGACGACAAGTGTTTCCCAATCTTTCGCTACTTTTTCCTCATTTCACACAAAAAACAACAAAAACTTTAATTTTTTGACTCAATTTTGAGATGAATTTAATGTAAACTTTCAGTCAATCATATCATGTCTTAAATGACGTGTTTTCGAGTCAAAGCCATCGCTTCCAGAGGGAGACACCACTCACTCAACACTACTGTCACTCAACTGTCACTTGCGATCAACTTCTGGATCACCTATTGATGCCATTCAACGGACAATCGCTTGTGTGGCCAACTATTGTCTCAGCCATTGATTCAATGAAAACACAATTAAAACATTAAATTCACATTTATTTGCATTTTATAAACAATAAAATCCCAGAAAATAGCCATAAATAACGTCTCGAGAGAGGCGTTGAACTCAGCGAACAATTCACTGTAAAAGGGCTCCAAAAGTGTGTGCAATATATGGACGTAATTATTGAATGAGTGTTTGGATTACTCATCAAAAAAGTATTGCATTTTTGTGGCAATAATTGGCATAAAGTTTGAAAGAGTGGTCAACCCTTTAGGATCCGCCGACTGGAAGCGATGTCTTCGTATTTCGACGAACACGAGTGTCCGCAGCGGTCGGCCGAAGACGAGGTGCAGAATCTGTACCTATCGTTGGCGCGAATGCTTCAGGACATGGGCTTCGAGTCGGATGTGATGTCGGCGCTGAACAGAGAGGCCGACCGAAGACCCCCGGCGTCGGAACAGTTCATCAAAAACCTGCCGAAAGTGACTCAATTGACGGCCGGAGAGAAGTGTTGCGTTTGTCTGAAGCCTCACTCCGTGGGCGAAACGGTGTCCGTCGACTGCGGCCACAAGTTTCACGTCCAGTGTATCACACGATGGCTTCGGCTCAACAACTCGTGTCCCGTTTGTCGCACAGAGTTTCCCACCGATGATGAAGAATACGAGACAAACAAACGACTGAAGCGCCAAAAGGAGGCCACTCTTCAGGAGCTCCACAACTCGATGTTCAGCTGAACTGATCCCACGTATCAATCAAATGGATCCAAATGTTTACACAAGTTTTCAGTCTTTTTTAAATCATTTTTTATAATTAATTATTTTGTTATAAATAAAAGGAAAAAAACATTTGTTTTTAATTTAAAATGATTTCATTTTTATTTCTTATTAGAGGTTTTGGTTTACGAAAATTGTTCTTAAATTATGATTCAATAATATTATTATTAATATAATTAAAACACATTTGCCGTCAACAAAATGTGGACAATAGAGACGGCAAATAAACACTAATTTTTAACAAAAAAC